AACATCATTCTTGGGTCCCACTGGGCTAAACTTTAATGAACTCACCCTGCAATTGAATGACCTTTCTGGGTAGGGCTGCGACCTTAGCTGGTGTTGATGATTCCACAGTCCTTCTACGGCCCACAGGCTGCACGTTCTCCAGCTCCGGCTAGACTGAAAACCTCGGGGCCACTGGCCATTACTTTTCCTTTCTCCCTCACCTTTATCCAGCCCACCTTCATTCAAGTCCAATCACCTCTACCTCCAAAACCAAGCTCAAAATTGAACCGCATTTTCCTAATTTGATTGCTATCTACCTGCCCAAGCTATCATCGCTTACCTGGAATTTGGCCCGAACCTCCTAACTAATCTTCTCTGCTTTCGCTTTTGGCTTCCATGCCCCCAAATCTGGGCCACAACCTCCCCTTCCAACCGCAACTTTACTGGTTCCGTCCTTCCCCATACTTGATTCACATGACCATATTCTGCTGATCCCGGAATGTGCAATGATCCCTCTTCCCATGGATCAGTGTGTATGCTATTCCTGATGACAAGGGAATTTTTCCACTGACAGCTGTCTGTTTACTCACATGTCAGCTGTCAGTCCAGCTTTTCCTCCATCATGGAAGAATCTTCGTAGTCCAGCCCAGAACCAAGTCCCCTTGCTAAACACATTCATTATCATGATAGAACTGTGCCCTTTATCTTGACAGCACGTACTGTACCCAATAAGCATTGGGAAATGTTTTCAGAATGCGTGAGTCTTCGAATGAATAAGTGAATGAATGGCTCTTCCTGTATAAAAACTTTCGGTGTTACAAATCATTTCTCTGTCATACAGAGCTCTTTTGAAATTAAGATTGTTAGGACAATTGTCAACAAACACAACTCAAGCACTTGGTGGAATAGACAAAAAGCAAATGTACGATAGGCTAGAGGCCCCCTGACAAACGCAGTGGGAAAAGCATCTGATCTCATTATCCGACTGCACACCGAGAGAGGAGAGCCTCTATCAGCAGCAACGGGGGGTGGGGGGGTGGGGGGGGTGGTCCCATGGGGCAGGGGTCGGCCATGCCTCCTCTCTCCAAACCTCTTACTAGTTCCAGCACTGACCTCCCCTCTCATGTCATACTCTACTTTTCTGTGCGGTTCAATGCTTTGCTGCTGGGGCCATACAGAACTCTCTAACAATACTCGTGATTACAAGCTTTAATAGAGAAATGACTGGCTGTAATTGAGGAGCAGAAAGGGCTCCTTGGGGCCTTGAGCATTTCAGGCTCTTGAGTCCCTTGGACTGGCCTCTGTCCTGATTGGATAAGGGTTACATAGCTCTTTAACTCTATCGACAAGTGCTTGGAATTACTCCACTCAGCCAGGAAGCCTCATGCTAAAGCGGTTCAGCTCTCTAGTTTCAGACTGTGGCAGTATTATTCTACTGTATTTTGCAATTCATTTGGGAAGGGGGGAGAGAAGCTTGTTTCAAAGTGTCCTGTATTTTTGGTACTTAATGTTCATCTCCCTTATGTTCCTTCTTTCTCCGATAGAGCATTTGTCCCCATCAGAAACAACTATCAAGACTTAACACTGTGGGTATGATTCAAATTTGCAAGAAAGAAAAGGTACATTTTTTGGTCTTGGGGAATCTAGAATTTGCTTTTTCACCCAATAGGAGACTTCCACCCCCGAACAAAACAAACTCACTATCATCATATGGATTCTGATTCACAGTGACCCTATGCAGTTTCTGACGCTGTACAGCCTCATGGGAGCAGCCAGCCTCATCTTTCTCCTCTGGAGTAGCTGGCGGGTTTGAACCACTGACTTTGCTGTTAGTAGCCCAACAACTAACCAACAGTGCCACCAAGGCTACTTCCAACATTAGACATACAAGTCGAATTTAAAACAAAACAAAACATGAATCATCAGATGTTCTAATCAGTTTATAGTACAGCTTCACATATACCAGAGCCGCTGCTGGATAGCACAACTTAAGAGGGAAAAGGTTGGATGAATTTAATATATTTGATAACAATTGATAACAGAAAGGAATGAAACAAAGAAACATTTGGAGAAATAAGCTAATTGAGTTCAAGGGTGACTTCTCAGCTAGCTGTTATCAATTTGACAACATATTAAGTACCTCGCCGGAATGGGACTTAGGTTAAAAATGCCTCTCTGTGAGAACCCAACCAAATACCTGCCGAAGAAAGTAGCACGACCACTCCGGGAGCTTAGATCTGGAGTCTGCAATTTGCTTTTCCATAGTTGCTCAACGTTTTCGGCAAGGTAGGAATCTTTTCCTTCCAGTTTTACTTCCTTACAGACATACACACACACACCCCACACCCTGTGTGCTGTTGAGCTGATTCTGACTCACGGCAGCCCCGTGTGTGTCAAAGTAGAACTCAGCCCCATTGGGCTCAAGTGGCTGCTTTTCAGGCCTTTATTGTGAGGAGTCTGTAGGTGGACTTACAGCTCAAATTTTAAGTTAGCCACTGAGTATGTTAACTGCTTGTCCCGCCCTAGGACTCCAACAATATTTGAGATGCATAAGGTACAAATAAAACACAAATAGTGAAGCTTACCATGGTTCTACATTGCAAGAAAAATAAAGCAAGAAAAATCTCCAAAGGTTTGATAATTTGGATGGGAAAGGACGAAGGCTGTCCGATGAAGAGAGGAGGGGAGGGGAGCGCCAAGCATAGAGCAGGAGGTTTGTTCCAACTGGGTGGGTGCTTTGCCAGGGCCTGGAGTCCCGTCCATGCATTCAATGGAGGTGCAGCCACCAGCCGTCATCAGCGGAGAAGTAGTGCCATTCTCCTAGTTGCACTTACTTGGGTGGCAGTGCAATTTCTCAAAGGCTGCGGGCACTTCCCTTACACTGACTACTGGAGCAGCCTGGTGTCTAACCGGACTAGTCCTCGGAGCTCAGCTTAGACAAAGCCAGGCTCCTCTCTGGATGACACTGTTGAAGGAGATTCCGAATGCTACATGGCTATTGAAAAGCAGAATCTTTACTTCTGAGTCTGTTGCCCACTGATGTGACCAGGCTGTTTTCATAAACGGAATACAGAGTTTTAGGTGGGGCAGAGACAGCACTTAATATCATAAAGTACCTTGTTGTCATGGTTTTCAGCAAGTTTACAAAGAGCCTGTTTCTGCAAAGATGGCAATGTCACATTTCCGATTGAATTTCCATCACGGAAAATTCTAACTCAAGTCAAGAATGCGCCTCTGCACTCAGGACAGGAAGAATGCTACATGCTGATGCTTAGGGGTGATGCTGTGGGGAGCCCGAGCCCCTTCCCATCTGACTCCTTGGGTGATTTTGCAGCAAATAAGTTCAGCTATGTGAGGGAAAGCCCCCACATGAAAGTGCAGTGTCCGCACGTCTAGATGAACAGATTATCTGAATCTACTCGAGTATAAAACTAAATCTGTTAAATTCTAAAGAGAGCTATTTCAGTAGTCTCAATTAGCCTTCAAAATGGAAAAGCTGCTTCGGGTGCTTATGTAAAATATAATATGCCATATTATACTATTTGTTATTTCACAAAGTTTTTTTTTTAACACATCATTTTAACAGTTCCAAGTCTGTAAATGTCTATTGCAGCAGAAGTCATGTTAGGCACAGCTGATCAAAACCAAAACTTGCATGCCTGGCACTCTCACCATCACCATGCCTGGGCTTCTGGCAAAGACATAAGGCAGCCTTGGCCCATGGCTCAATGCCTGGAGAGTCCAACCTTTATTCTGGGCCTGAGAGTGTTAAAGGTTGGAGGAGAGAAATGAGGGCAATGCAGACAAATATGGATTTGGAAAGTACGAAGACTTATGAAATAGGGTATGTAACAAGCTTGGAAGCGAAGACTGGGCAGGTTTCCTAAAGGACTGCATTTCATTTTGCGCCCTGAGATTACAGAGAGAGGAACACGAGAGAGCAGATAAAGCTGTGTCATTGTACTCTCTGGATCACTCGCTGACATCTGACTGTCCCTGAAAATCCCTTCCTGGATCCTAGTCCTTCAAGCACTGTCCTCGGGTCATTTCATTTTTGCTGTTTATACTCAGTATAAGCCCATCTTATTAACTCCCAGAGGCTCACATATACTGTATCTCAACAATTTCAATTGTTGATCTCAACAATTTCCCACAGATCTATCTAGTTTCTGCACCAGACTATTTCCACCTCTCTGCCAGCCCTGCCACTTAGATATATACTTTTTAAGAATCCATCCAGTGGATTCTGACTCAGAGGAACACGAGAGGACATGGGAGTTCACAACCCCACAGTGTTTCCACAGTTGCAACATCTTCATGGAAGCAGATTGCCACATCTCCCTCCTGCACCGTGGGTTCAAATTGGTGATCTTTCAGTTAGTGGTCAAGTGGTTTAAGGTAAAGTGAAGTAATAAAGATCAGTAAGAATGATACAAGTATCCAGAAATAGGGCACTGGTTAAATAAACTATAGTACATCTATCTATCTATTCAGTGGACTATCATGTATTTATAAGAGGGTTGGTGGTGGAGGGTCTCTACATATTAATAGGGAAAACTCAAAAATCCGCTGCCATCAAGTTGATTCTGGCTCATAGTGACCCTATGGGACAGAGCAGAGCTGCCCCTTCAGGTTTCTGAGGCTGTAACTCTTTATGGGTGCAGAAAGCCTCATCTTTCTCCCACAGACTGACTGGTGGGGTTGAACTACTGACCTTTTTCAACATATACGCTGTAACCTTATTTTGCTTTTTAAACAATGTTAATTTGTCACCGACTCAAGAGAATAATTACAATAAAAATTTAAATGGACAGAGAAAGTAGTTCAGAAGCAAAGAAAACGAAATTCAGAGTTTGGAGGTGGCAACCTTAAGGTCAGATGAAAACGATCGTTTC